ATTATCAACTTAATGCATTTCGAGTCAAAACTAGATCAACAAAGCTATTTGAAAATATTTCCAATAGGCTCCACCGTTTGTGATGTGGAACAACGAAACTAAGGAGTTTGAAGGCCTGAGTATTGATATTTTGGAGGAGATAAGAAAAAGATTGGAGTTCAACTATAACATATATGCTGTTCGTGATGGAAGATTTGGAGTGAAAAACAGACTCACTGGAGAGTGGAATGGTATCGTCAAGGACATCATGGACAAGGTACTTTCTTTTCTTCATGGTTGTCGATAAAAAAACACGTAGCTCCCTGCGGGTTTCGCTTTTTCAATTTTTTCCAAATGCGATATTGCTAAGAGGCGTTTTCAAAGACTCTTCCTTTACTCGTTGAACGTTTATGATTATAGAGGATTGGTTACTCGACCAAACTTTCTCTGGTGGGGCCCCACATATTTTTGTAATGGCCGACTAGCACAATCTTACAATACTAGAAGTAATTAATGCTTTAAGGGTTATTAACCTTTTTCACGAGCCATGCTTCTAAATAGGCTGACTAAAAAGTCTTGCACAACTGTGTGATGGTTCAGACTTGCCAAATGTCACTTAATAAGACGAAAGGGCATGCAAAACTTTAATCAATGACTATACCTTAACTTAGAGTAGGGAGTGCAAAGGAGCTGGATTGCAAATTAGGCGCGAATCGAGTACAAATATCCCGTGACATTGTACGGTTATTTGGCCAGTTGGTTATTTTGTACGGTAAGAAACCTTTTTGACAGGTTTGATAGGCTTGTGTGAGTTGTTTGTCCTTGTTTCAAGGGAGGAAACAAAATGGACGACATTTAAAGCAGTTGGATAATGAATAACTTATCAGACGTTTTGGTGTATAGTACAGCCGAGTATTCCTATTCTTTTTTCGTATTTTGACTTGCACTGCGAGCTTGTGAAAATACGGCACAACCCCTGATAATACTCAGAGATATGCTTCACACCAAAACTTCTTATACGTTATATTTACTTTACAGAAAGCCGACATGAGTATTGCACCAATGACCATCAGCTCTGATCGTCAAACAGTGTTAGATTTCACACAACCGTACATGACGTTTGGACTGGCCTTTATGATACGTGTCCAGGAAGTAAACGGGAACTACTTCAGATTCTTGTTACCATTTGATAAATACTTGTGGGTGGCCATATGCGTGTTAGTGACGGTAATGGGCTTTTCAGTGTGGTTCTGTAGTCTCTTTAGTCCACTTGGGTATTTTGGAAGATGCGTTCAAGCCAAATCGACTAAACAGGTGAGTGAGGTTCCACTACCTATCACAAGAGAGTCTGGTTTGCTGTTCGATTAATCCAAGGGACTGTTTCACAGTCTCAGGCTTGTTCCCTAGCCGAGCTCTTTAGAATCCATTAACATCAAAGAAGAACTGTTTAAAATTCGGAAAACCTTTAAAAATATGCTTCTACAACACGAAATAGCTATGAAACATAACTTGTATGAGGGTGATAATCAATGAACAGATTGCCTGAAATATCAAATGTAAAAATGATGACATTAACCCTCAGAGTGAAGTTCAGACTCTCTCCCAAATATTAGAAGTGGCCGAAGTTCCTTTTTTTTCGTCCAATAACTCTCAACACTTAAAAGGCAAACCCTTCTCACTTTGTTATTTGTTGATCATCATCGTTCTTTTTCCCAGCTAAAACCAGAAGACCTTAAACAAGTTGACACTCTCAGCTTAAACAACTCTATATGGTCGTCGTGGAAGGCGTATGTCCGTCGCAGTGCTGAGCATCCCAGGTCATGGTCAGGCAAGTTGACAGTGTCTGTTTTCTGGTTCGCTGTGATGATCATCAATGCTACATACACAGCCAATCTGGCCGCTTATCTCACTGTGTCCCGGATGCAAACTCCCATTGAAACCATTCTGGATTTGTCGCGTCAAACTCGTATTGAATATGGAACACTCAAGGACTCGCAACTACAAACGTTTTTCCAAAAAACAGATGTTCCCAGGTAAATATCAGGAGAAATTCAGCTTCGTTAAAAATGATCGGTCTGTATTGCCGTGACAGATTGCGGGACTGAATATGTTCAGTCTTAAGCGAAGTGTCTCTACTTATGGCCTGTTCTAAACTACACAATAACCAAAAACATAGCTTTTTCCAAAATCAAGGCCTAGAAGGGGTATCTTAGACCTCAAAGTTTTAGGCCTTCAGCTTTTTTTAAGAGGTGTTATTTTAACTGTTTGGGACTCGTTTTCAAAGGTTCGAGTTTCGTTACTTTTTAAAAGAGAACTTTGTGTTGGGGTTTTAGTTATCTAGTGATGGGACAGTTCATGGAGCAGCGCAAGTTATGGATGCCTAGTTTTGAAGCTGCCATCAACAGAACGTTGGAGGGTGACTTTGCATTTATCTCAGACAGACCAATTTTAAATTATGTGGCACGACAAGATAAACACTGTGGAAAATTCAAGGTTACTGGCGGGTAAGATAGAGCAAATTCTATGACTTGAACAAAACTGCTCTGACGAACTTAAAGGCAAGTTATCAGAATTTTCAATGTACGAACATGGATATTTACAGAAAAAGTAATGCCAAAAAGGAATTTACTGACTGGGTACTGACTGACTGATTGATAAATTGATAGGTTTATTGATTTATTGGAGGAGTTCTCTCTCTCTCTTTCTCGTGTTGCTTTGTAACTTTTCGGCGGTGCAAAAATAATCAGTTCTAACTCTGCAACTGTCACTGTGCTTTCGGTCAAAACAATCACGTTGAATCTACCAATTTCTTAAGGTCTTTTTTTACTTTTATTGCACTAAATCACCTCTCTTCTGCATTGTGTTACATGAAAACAGCATTTCTCTCAGTATTTCTCTCAGCATTTCTCTCAGCCAATGATTTTTTTAAGTTTTTTGTTTATAATTAGATGTTCTTCCTAATATCCTAAAATCGCCTTCGTTAAAAAAGTTCGCATAGTACGCAAATAACGCTCTTTGAAGCAAGCTCCTTCAGGGCCGACTCTAAGCTTCTATTCGAGGGAGTTGTTTACAGGGGTGCTTGTCAAGGGACAGTTGATCGATATTCAACAAGCGGAGCAGATTTGTTGCGTACTCGATTTAAAAAAAAAAGATAATCCCAGTTGAGACGTATGGCATAATTCCATTTCAGGTTTGGTAATACATATGGCTATGGTTTTGCTTTCGAACTGAACTCGCCATACACTCCGCTCTTTAATATGGAATTATTTCGACTTCAAAATGAATTCATTATAAGCAGTCTCACTCATAAGTGGACAAAGGAGAGGGTGAATTGCGAACTGGTGGATAACTTTGAAGAGCAGCAGCTACTTGGTAAGATGTGTTTCCGTAACGAGAGCAGTATGGGCTTTTCTCGAGCTTGTTTGACTTCTAAAAGATACATGCCACTCTAAAGAGGACTTAGAAAGATTCTACAATTTTTACGCGGCGTGCCCTGTATGGTATTCAATAGCATATTTTCTAAAATCTCACATATTAAGCTTGGACTGCATGCATAAGATGAGATCAAAGTGAGCGCCAGAATCCATCGTCGTGCCTGACATGCTGTAAATCAGTTTAATTTTTGTCTGATCTCAGGAAGCACTGTCCAGAAGATGTCCGTCCAAAATATGCTGGGTGTGTTTATCCTGTTGGCTATCAGTGTTTTGGTTGGCTTCCTTATCATGATCATGGAGTGGATTTACGCCTCGGCTAAAGATGCCAGAAAACGCGTTCAGGTGAGTTCAAAACGGTTTGTCGGGCAATCTTTAGGCCAAGCCCTCCTGTGAAGGGCAAAACATTGTGTGTGTACATGTGTGAGACAATCTCAAATTTACGTATTTCTGAGAATGTGTACAGAGGAGGCAAATTCACATTTCTATCTGAAGTGAGAACTGCCTTCATGTTTGAGGCTTAGGAGAAGCTTGGCGCCATACGCCGTAAGGCATATGGCCATAAATGATATATTCACTGGGCGCGGTGAAGATATTATGTTTTCGAAACCGGTTAAATTCCTGTGTTTCATCAATATTTCCCCAAATATAAGTTGACATAGTTTCTAACACGCGATATTTCTGAGACATGTATAAAGTATAAGGTCTTGATTTGATAGCTGATTGATTTTGTTAAAGTCTCTGTTGTCCTTTTACCTAGTTGATATTATTATGGAGTAAGTGAGTTCAACACGCGCACTTTTTTCAGGGTCGCAAGACATGCTGCCAAGCATGCGGGACGAGACTGATTCAGGCGCTCAGAGACATGTGCTGCTCTAAAAAGAAAACCACTCTTGACAGTGACAAGACAGATTATTGAATATGGACGTCAGGTCTTCGTTATGAATGAACGGTTGAGTTTGAGCGGGATCAGCATTTTGCTTTTTTAAATTTAAGCTCGCTCATTACTAATGATGTGTTTGATCCGTTAATCGTGAAAATGTTTTGCTTTTTGCTGGGTTATACTTATTGATCAGTTCAAGTTGTTAGCCGATTATTTCCCTTTCTTTCAATCGCCTTACGAAGACGCGGTTCTCAGTTTTTAACGCAGAAGAGGTTGTGTCATATTTGTCCAGTTGTCTTCTCCTGAGGCGTTTGAACAATGGTATAACAGGCTCAGGCACTTCTCGTTTCAAATTAGTTGTTGATAATTGATTAGACACAGAAATCAATTGATTAAGCAGCGGAATGCGGGCCTTACAGTGGGGCTCCTAAGAAGAAAACTTCATTTCTTTTCGTAGCAAATAATTTACGGTAGGGGAATGTTATAAATGTTGATAAGAAGACGTCCGTTGCTACTTATAAAAATAGATTTTATATTAGGATTTTGATTCATCAATGATAGACACGCACCAAACGCGATCGAAGTCAAGAATAGATGGCTGCATTGGCCGATCTAGAGAGGGAAAGATGAGCTCGGTTAGCCTAATCAAAACAGAGGATTCGCGTCATTTTGATCAGCGGCACTGCCAGCCATCTAATCAGAAGAATTATTCGTTAGAATTTCTGGAAGAATTACTCGTTTTTATTACTCGTTATCAAAAACACACAAAAAAGAAAAGAAAAAAAAAAGAAAAGAAATCGGCCAATGTTCAGCCACCTTGACCTCATACTTGGTCAATGACTCAGGCATGATATCAGTTGTAGACTTGTGTTGTTATAACAAATGTTTAATCTTTCAAGTTCAGTTGGACAGCGCCCCCATGCATGCCTTCCTTTAGTTAATATGTCAGCATGTAATTTAGAGTTTACTGAATCGTAACTAAGAATCAGAAAGAGGGAGAGAGAGAGAAAGAGAAAGAGAGAGGGAGAGAGAGTGATCGAACAGAGTTAGTCAGTTGATCCGAGTTACACAGAATGAGATTAAAGTAAACAAAAAACAGGTTGAGAGTCCTTGGTGCCTTTCGCTAAGCGTTTGTTCGATCTAGTTTCCGCGTCAATACGCCCCAACATAAGTTTCACATCCTAATTCAATACCATTCACCCACAGTTCACTCGAATGATAAGTATCTCCGTCTTGCCGTCCTATTTTCTGTGTTATTCATCTCTTTTCCCCTCCCTGAGTAACTTGCAGTTCCTTCAGTTTCCCATACTATAACTGCTTTCTATTACTTTCTTTGGTTTCATCCATTAGTGGTCTTTTTCTTGTTTGACACGGTCATCATGTGAGATACGGCAAATTTTCTTCGACGTTGGCGGTTAAATTTCAATGCCTTTGCCGGTTGACGTTTATTAGAAAGAAGCATTTCTCTAAATTAAAATTAACATCAAGTTTCTCTGTTTTTTTGTTTGTTTTGTTTTGCTTTTTTTTCATTATTTGAAACAGAATTGAACGTTAGGATCTGAAGCAATTTTGCGATTCTCTTGTATTAGATTGGTATTTAGTATTGTGCAAACCTTTAGGACTCCCTTTGAACTGGGTTATTACGTTAGTTACTTGTGCTGGATTGTTACTTTAATATCCGTGCACTTTTAAGATTCTCTTTCATTGGATTGTTACGTTAATGTCTCGCGCGCTTTGAGGATTCTTTTTTATTGGATTGCTACGTTTGCATTTCGCGCACTTTTAGAATTCGCTGCCATTGGGCTGTTACGTAAGCATCTCGCTTACCTTTAGGATTCCCTTTCATTTGAGCCGCTTTCAATCAATTTCTCTTTTATTGAAGCAGTAAGTACTTATTAGTAATGTATATATGCTAAACCCATGGGAATAAGTCATTGTCTTAAAAACAATGGGGCGCATACATAATTAATGAAATTGAATGCATAATAAATGTATGGGGTTATATGGTACTCTTTCCTAAAAGTGGATCTGTTGGTGGATTGGCCTCTCCTTTTTCTTCTTCTTCGTCGTTCTCGAAAAAGAGATCAAACAAAGCAGAAAAGACGTACCGTTTTTTTAAAGATTCGACGACTGGAAGGCGTATCACGCACACTGAGTATCGGCCAAGAAGCAGATCTGGAAGCACGCAAGAGCCGGAAGATGAAGAAATTCATGATTTTGACATCACTGCCGAGAACGTTCTAGGTCAGTCTCACGGTAGTGCTTTACCATCAAACAGAGATTCTACTTTCTTAAAGATTGAAAAATCTGGGAGATAAAAAGCGATTTTCCAATCAGGTAGCTCTTTTGCTTCCTCTCAGCGGAATGAACAGTAACCACAAAACACCTTGAATGTCAAACATCCCTTCCAAAATAGGAGGAGGCTTAATTTCTTTCCAGGAGATTTGGTTATCCTTTCAAGGGACAATTATTCTACACTCGGAAAACTCCCATAATTATTATTACACCACATTATTAGTTTACTACAAAAATAACAAATTTTATAAATAAAAATGAAATTAAAAAAAAATTGATATATAAATACTTTTATTTACCCTTGGTAGTGTTCTACTAATGATGCACCGTGTAATCAGCTACAGAACACTCACTTATTTGTACAATATTAATGATTATTCCAGATGATGATATGCTGTCTTGTTTGGAAGAACAAGAATTCCCATCTATAACACCCTCAGCTGCCACAAGTATGTGCCTCTATCATGCCTTAATTATCAATTTATTGTATTTTAAAAATAATCAGGACCATGAGAATAAGTTTAAAAAAAGTTAGCCAAGTAGAAGATGTGGCAGGCACAGTTTAGTGTTGTTTTCCTTTATTACAATGTGGGTGACTTAGCCTGTGCCTTGGAAGCAGCAAACAGTCTTTTGGAGGAGTGGTGTGCGAACAAGGCACCATCAAATCAAAATTGGGAGCAGCGGATATCAAATCTGAATGAAAGCTGGGCAGGTGTTCGGCAAAATTTATTTAATTCTGTTCTCTCCACTTTTGGAATTCATCCAGAAAGGAGCATGTGCAGCAAATGCTTGAAGAATCCAGCTGTTATTCGCTGCTACAATTGTCACATGCACAGACAATTATGTGGTGTTTGTGATCAATCTGTTCATGAAATACTACCATTTCATGATCGCAGTGCATTTAAAAGTGGATTTCTTAAGCCAATTCCACCCACTGTTTCAGTGGATCATAATGGAGAGTGGGTCTCTGTAGGTTTGTGTTTTTTATTTTTTTTTATTTTGTCTTACTTTGACAAGTCTCAGTTTTATAGAAGTTTGAAGTAAATTCATTTCACTTTGTCTATCGTGATGATATAATAATATTGGAAGAAAGGTTGATTCTCACCTTTTAATTTTTTTGTACAGGCTCACTAAAATTAATGTTGATGATTTTCTTTCAGATAGTTACCTTCCATTTTCAGAAATGTGTTTAACATGTCCTTTTTGTAACATCTGCAACATGCAGAGAGTTAGCAAACATAACAGTTGTGTAGTAGTTAATCTACAGGGTGAGATTCTGATTAAATCTATTTTTGAAGTAAAATATTTAATATGTTAATTTAAATATTAAAATCTGCCTATTTAATAATGTATCTTGTTTAACTGGGCTTAACTTGATATGTTGTCAGGTAATAAGTTATTTCTTCAACAAGAAACTGTTGATTAGACTTCAATTCTAATAAGATCCAAAACACTGAACTAAAATAGCATATAAATTATGTCAAAATGATTTTTACAATCAAACCAATTTTTTTTCTCAGGATCTTTGGTTGGGAACTTGTATGAACCCATCATCTACTCATTGTTCTATTTTATAAGTTTTTTAAGGGAAGGTTTGTTA